ATCGAACTCAGGACCCTGAACTTTTGTGGAATGCGCAGGCACCACTGAGTACATCTTTGGCCTTCTATTATAAAAATCTTAATTTCATACATTACCCATGGTGATTAGGTAGCAGGTTGTCTCCTAGCTTTCATTTTAATAAGCCAGAGTGAAATTCGGAGACTTTTTTATCATGCAAGTTTACATCTCCTCACTGCATTGTCTTAGAAGGAAGAAATCCTCTTGCTCTTCTGCCCCAGCAACGCAGAGGCAGGTCAAAAACACCGGGAGGGCGGCATAAAGCGGCAGTGAGGCCAAAGCAAACAAGATGAAAGCCCGTTTAAGAGCTACTAGGTTCTGGAAGTTTTCAAAACCTAGACATTACCATCATCACAACAGCGAAAAGTTCTGTCAAGTGAACCTCTGGGGAAACCACTTAACATTCATCACCCCCCGGGCTCTCTGGGATAAATTTTCACTCTACGATGGCTGTCACTGAGGCTGGTAAATTTATGCTGCTTTCTCCCAATCCTCCTGCCACCCTAGTGCTGCAATCCATCCTCAAAGTCCAGGCGAGAACTGGGGATGAGGCGCCACCTCTTACCATTCAGAACACTCAGCCAGCTCAGTCTGAGCAGGAGCTCCGGGTCCCAGTGCTGCACTTGAACTGAGCCTTCACCTGGCAGTGAAAGTGCCCACACTTCCCACGGAAGCCAACACTCCGGTCTGTCCACTGCATCCTTCCCCACGTTCTCCTCCCCAGCAGGTTAATACACGATGCCAGTGTATTGGTGAGCTTTCTTCTTTTGCAGTTGTCATCAATCACGGATTCAATAACTGGGTCCATGACTTTTCTACGTCTTGAGTCTAAGTATCATGGCAATCCAAGGATGCATTCCGTCTACCATGGTTTAGGATTAAGTAATTCTAAGTAGCAGTTTAAAAGAGGACTTTCGGGACGCACATGCCTAAGCTTAAAACTACCAAATCCCTCCTAATGTTTCCTAGGGTTAAATCCCACATGCAAATGACACACGGATCTCATTTGCCAACATCGCTTACTGCTTCCAGTCACTTCCTCCCAAGCCGAGCAAATGGAGGCAGGGAGTAACTGGTAAGCTTGCTCACTGGCTCTGGAAGCTCATCTGTGCATTTTATCTATCTGAATCAAGGTAATTTATCACAGCTTAACTTCACGTGAGCCTTCTCCAAATGACTTCTTCCTCCACTGAACATCAGCCAGGGTTTTAAACCTAGAATTCTGCAGAGTTCTCTCCTCAGTCCTCTTTAGCATGCAGTTCACAGCCTGAGAGAACAGAGCCTGCCAGGCCCTGACCAGCTGCACCCCAGGGCTGACAGTACTTCAATTAGGGAGCAGTTTTGCAATCAGTGGAAACGGAGTGCTTCACAGCAATTGCCTGCAAACAAGTTGAGACAAGTGAACAATTACCCTATTAAAGACAGAGTCACTTGCACTGGGCTAGCCAAGCCCCTCACACAACCCAAAACCCTCCACAGGAGAAGAGGCAGGCAGAAAATGGGGTTTTAGCCATTAAAATAAAATCAGCATTATGGTACATCTGACGTGGGAGTGTCTTCCTGAAAAATACTCTAGGTTAAGCTATAAGCCTCTCTCTCTCCAGCCTCTTTCTGTTTTCATTCAGGAAGTCTGAAATTGTTCTCTCTACTCTGAGTCTAACTTCCTAACTCTTAAAATGTTAATAGCTCCTTGTATATGAAATTTCCATCATGTACATTTTCAATTTTCTGGATACTTAGTTGAAAATGTAGTCTATAGGGAGACTCAAATCTGTGTTTCATTTCCTTAGTTCACTATCTAGATAGAGATGAGAGAGAGACAGAGAGAGAGAGAGAGAGAGAGAGAGAGAGGCGGCTGGTTTATAGAAGGCTTTAAAAGATGAATGTAAAAAATGTAAACAAGCTCTCCGATATACTATCAGGTGGGCGTGCTCTGTGCGCTGAGCTACAAGCCAGAGCTATTTATATTTGAAAGAAATGAGATTACCAGTCACCTGCATTTTGACTATTAAAAAGCTAGGACTCTAAAAGATTCCAGGAAGAAGGGAATAGCTTACATTCTAACGGTGCCCCTTTTAAACAGGAAACCCAGGACTTAGAGCCAAGTTTTAGAAATCTCCATTTATGTTTTCATGGTTTCCCCTCCTGGTGAGTCAGTGGGACCAGCCATGGCCCATCACCTTCCTGTCCCCTGGGTCCACTAGGAGATTTAAACAATTCAGTCACCTTGCTGAGCCGGTCATCGAGTTCTAAGCAATCATTGTCTCTCCATTCCTTTTCTTTTCAAGTAAGTTATAAGAAGGGACATCCTAAAGCAGAGTTTCTAAAAGGTTTCCTTTCTGGATGTACAAATGTTGATGTACTGCCCTCTTAAATGCCCTTAAATATCACCTTAAAATAAACACAATTTCCAGTTAACTCACTCAGCTGTGAATGGGCTATGAAACGCTCCAAAGGTATGTGAAAAATTAATTCTGTTGTTTTGCTTTTAAAAAATGTGATGTCGAAGTGTGTCTGCAATGTTCTAAGGCTTCAAAACATGTGCCTAAGCCTTGTTTATCTGGAAACCATTGCTCTCTGCTTATATCATTTATAAATAGAAGACGTTCTGTAATAACTTAAAATAGTTCTATATACATAATGCTTTTCATGTCCTAACACTTACTACTGGTCTATATTTACCAACTTTTATCACGTTTTACAAAACAAGGTAGAAAAAAAAAAAAAAAGAAGAAGAAAAAGACAAGGACTTTATGGTCCTGAGCTTCCAGTAATGGTGACCAACATGTTTCAAATTCCAGTAAAGGTTATGGTTACATTTCAACAAGTACCTCCTTCCTTTCTCTTACCTCTGAGGCTAGTTCAAGGCAAACTTAAAGAAGAAAAATGAAAAAGTCTAAGCAAAGAGCGTCTGCGACGTCAGCGAGCAGGAGCTAGTGGGTAAGATTTCAAGGTGGTCTATTATTCGGCAGGGCGGAGCGTCCCTGTCACGGCCTGAGCAGCCTGCACCCGAAAAATGACAATGCCGCACAGGTAAGCGCTGGAGGCCAGACTCATCTGACTTGAACCTGTAATTATACCTCAATGAAATAAAATGTGAAAACAACCCGCTTACCAAGTTGTCAGGCCAGCATGGCTTCTGACCATATTCAAGCTAGCACATAAAAATCGATTTTGCATAAAAATAAACGGAAGTGGAATATTTTCCAAGAAACTGAGCCAGTGGGGGGGGCAGGTCTCATTTAATAGCATAGCACTTTTAATATGCAGTTAAGAAAACAACATTCCCAATTATGCAGGCTTTGCTTGAACAGATAGCCGTACTAAAAAGATTCATAAACACTCAGAAATATGCTTCTCTGTGCTTCTGGCCAAGAACATTCTTGCATTCTTGTCAGAAAATGTTCACTGCTTGCAGTCGACCTTGAGGCGTGGGTTCCGCGAGATAAGCAAAGGTCCCCAAAATAGGCTCGGGAGCCCCAGCCGAGCTAAGCGCCCGAACTCGGGGGAAACTTTACGTCGGAGCCGGAGCGGCGCGAGCGGTCGGGGTCCACGGCGACGAGCCCACGCACCACGCACCGCGTGGTCCCGCGGCCCCGCCCCCGGCGCCCGCGGCCCCGCCCCCAGCTCCCGCGGCTCCGGGCCGGGCCGGCAGAGGGCGCCCGGTCCCTTCCCAGCGCGCCGCTCCCGGCTCTCCCGCCGCAGGTCGCAGCCCCGCGCCACCCAGCGCGGCCTCCCGGTCTCCCGCCGCCGTGCCCCCGTGCCCCGGGCCTGCAGCTCCCCTCTCTCGGCCCCGGGCTGGTTCCTTCCAGACGCAGCTTCACGCCCCCTCCCTCCCTTCCCGGCTCTGTACCCCAGAACCCAATCCCACTCGGGGCACCCCATCCACTCCCCAAAACTTTTCCTCTCCGGAGAGAGAGGCGCGGAGCTGGGGGCGCCTGCCCCGGGATTCGCGAGCCTGTCGGGCGGGGCAGCAGGGCTGCACCCCAAGTTCCCCAGGCCGGCTCTGACCCGAGTCCGCTTCGGGCCCCACTCCTGGGGACACAGGTGAGAGGGGCCTGGCCTGACCGGAGAGGGGAGGCGGGCAGAGGCGCGGACCCCACTCCGCAGCCCGCTCGGCACCCGCGACTGGGCGCACAGGTCGGGGCCCCCTGGTCAGGCGGCAGCCGGAGTCCCGAGTCCCCCCAAGAGCCCTCCCGGACACGCGGGAGCGTTTCGGGATCCCCAAAGCAACTCGGGGCGTCCAGCCTCTGCCCGCTCCGGAGACTCGGGGACCCTCCCGGGCGGGGTGCGCTGAGAAAGCTGGGGCGACTCCGAGCCCCGTCCCCGCGCCGGCGGCAGGCAGAGTTCTGCCCCCGCAACCCCGCGCTCCCCAGCCCGGGCCCTACCTCGGGGTCCACGCCGCGCTCTCGGGTCCCTGGCCGCGGGCTCGCATCGTCGTCCTGCTCCCGGCCCCGAGGCGCGCGACCTCCCTGCCGGCCCCGCAGCCCTCCGCGCCCCCGAAACCCGTGCGGGGCGCCGCGCTTTTCCTCGCCGGGCTCAGCCTGGGTCCCCGGGGAGCCCTGCGAGCGCACGAGCCGCCCGTCCCCCTCTCTCCCGAGCTCGCCCTCGATCCCCGGGCGGGACGTGCTCGGCTGGGGCTGGGGGAGCGACCGTGCGCCCATCCCGGGGACCCGCGCCCCCCCGGCCCCCACCCAGCAAGGCGCAGGAAGCGAGTGCGAATCCGCGCTCCCGCCTCGCGCCCCGCAACTCCGCGTCCCCACCCAGCGCCCAAGTTCCGGGAGGGCGCGATCGCGGGCGCCCACGGGGTCACGGGGAGCGCCGGCCGCCTGGCCCGCGTCCTCCCGGCCGAGCCCGAGCCCGAGCCCGAGCCCCAGCGCGCGGCAGCCGGGAGCCTACCTTCCAGGCTCGAGCGTCAGAGTAAACATCCAGGCAGCCGCGAGGACTGCGCCCCGAACTCCCAGCCCCGCGAGTGTTCTCACCTCCCCTTCAGCTCAGAAGAAAAGCGGGGCAGGGGCTCCGGAGCCGCCCGGCGCTCCCCGGCTGCTGCGCGGCGAAGTTAAATTACTGACGCTGGAAATCGCATGGCGGAGGCGACGCCCGCACCCCTCCGGCGCGGAGCTCCCTCTGAGCCAGCGCGGCCGAGGCAGGGAGGTCTCAGGCAACCCGCGGGGGGCGGGCGCGCGCTGGCGGCGGAGAATGGGAAGTGGGTGGGAGTCCGCGAGAGGGCCCGCGGTGCCCTGACGCGCGCTGTCATATGATACCTCCGCCGGCTGCCTCGAAATAGACACCCCGTGCACGAATTACCAGAATCAGAATCCAGCGCATCGAACAGATCCAGCTTTTATTAGAAGAGTTCCTTCCAAGGCAGAGCATGCTTCGGGGGATGTTTTTATTCCCAGCCGTCGCAAACGTACACAGAGGAGCCGACCCTTTCGATACGAGCCGGGGCAAAAGTAAAGTTTTAAAATAAGCTTTAAGAAGAACCGGGTCGCTGTCCCCACCCCGGCGGCGGCAGGGGCTCTTTCGCCTCGGACCCACGCAGGGAGCTCACGGGCGGGGCCAAAGGGCTTCCGCTGGCTCCCGGGTGTAGGCTCTAAGGCCCAAGGTTCTCAGTTGGTTTGAGCAGTTTGTAAGTTCCTGGGCCGACCTTGGATCTAACCATAGAGAAGGGGAAGATGCCTCTTAACACGGGTCCCAGGATCTCCTCAGCGTGAAATCGCGGGGTGATTGTCACTATGAGGCTCCCTCCTGGGGACCTGTGCTGCAGGCGGACTGGGGCGGGGCGGGGCCGGCAACGAGCGTGTTAATAAGCTCCCCTCCCGGCGTTCAGATGCAGACAGCTGAGGTCAGCTTTGTGAAGCGGCTCTCAGGGGACACAAGGGGCGACAGGAACCCGCCCCCAAGTGCTGTAAGCTGTACTATGCCTATGTACTGATGGTAAGACTCCTCACTGCCCTAAGAATTTCCCTAAACACTCCTACATTGATTTTGCTAAAGATTATAAGCAGTTTGCTTTCCTGGACCTTCCTGAGGTTACCAGGAATGTGCTGTTGAACACTATGTATAACGTTACTACATACTGGGTTCAACTTACCTAAAGGTGGACAGCAAAATGAGTTCGCTAACGTGAGCTGTGCTGAAGCGTCTACAGACTAGTGACAGCAAGTTCTATAAATGCAGAACCCGAGACTCATTCTCGTCCTTGAGGTAACTTACCCACACTCACACAGCGAAGTACCAGTGACAAGACTTCGGAAAGTGCAGGAGTCCGCCGGCCAGAGATGACCTGCCTCCCTCTCTCCCTGGCATACGCAGAGCTGTGTATTGTGTGGCAGTGCTAACAGGATGTGTGATGGTTCGGAGCCTTTGCAAATTGCTGGGCTCAACAGTCAAGTTATTCAAATATGTGCATACTCTTAGAGTGTCACACAGTTAGCTTTGCACCTCTGTCAGCTTGACTGGACACACGATCCATACAAACTAGTGCCACACACACAGACAGCAGAGCTGGCCAGGCAATGTCTGGGGTGTGTGAAGCAAGCAGAGAGCGGCACAGGGCAACCCACTGGACGCTGGGCTTGGCCATCTTGAGACCCTCTGTGTTGTTTCCCAGGGTGCAGGCTGAACACATCCACAGTGTCTCTCAATATTGTACTTCCACTTAAGAGGCAAGTACCATAAATTCTAAAAATAGGTGAATTGCTTTATAAAGGACTAGAGGAATCCTACCTCAAACTTTCAGCAAAACAAGTCAACTGCAGCGCACTCTCTAGCTTTCAAGCACAGTTGCAATTCACTGCTCTTCTGAGAAAATCCCAGGCACGTGAATGTGCAGGATCTTTGCTAGCTCTCTCAGTGTGGCTTAGCTCTGAAGTTACTGTTAGTCTTTTACCTGGTAAATTCGCAGGGCCAGGTCAGCATTTCTGCGGAAGGAAGAAGCATTCTCATTTTCAGACTCTGATTGGGCCGGTCTGTGGCCAATCTGATTCCTGCTCTCCCTCAACGTTATATAAACAAATGTTTGTATCTTCACTTTCCAGTAAGTGGTGCAGTTTTACTGAGGAAAAGACAGGAAAGGCAGGAATATTAACAAATAAGATCAAGATGTGGAAACATCAGACGAACGTGATGATCAGGCCTCTTACAATTTCTGGGCATTCCCCAACTTTCTGGTTTGTAATTGTTACTGAAGCAAGAGGAGATAAGACTTAAAACCCTTACCTCCTTGCCTTGAAAATACACCTTACATTCAAACACCAGGAAGCCAGGGGGAACTAAATGCAGCTCCCTGCACGGTATTCTGAGTTTTTCATTTGTTTAATTCAGGTAATATTGAGTGTTTCAGCAGTCTAAAATCAAACTTTTTATAAAATTATTTTCTTGTGATCAAAGATGATGTGGAGAACATTCAGCATTCATTTCTGATTCATCTTAAAGATTGATCTCTGACATGTTAGGGGCAAAGATTCCAAATTTAGGCTACAAACATTTTTCTGTCCTTAAAAGGAGGAAAAGCTCCATCGCTTGAAAAGAAAATGCTATTTATTTCACTTTGTGGGATTTAAAATCAATTTTGGACTAGTCCAAGTCTCTTTTTTTAGTTTTTACTTATCTTAACCTGATAGTCCAGGAGGATAACACTGGGGAGAAATGTGAATTGCCATCTATTCTTGTCAGGAAATATAAACCAATTCTCATTACCCAAGTGGGAAGAGAGGCAGTAGGCTCAGATTTAACATTGACATCTTTTTTCTATTAATAATTTTAATTGGCTGAGGTCAGTTCTCCTCTCAGTATAAGCATTTTATGTTTAATTATGTTTACTTAAGTTTCCTAGTTACTCCTGCCTTCACTCTTCCTTTCAAAAAAAAGCTTATCTAGTATCAAATGAATTGACCTGAAACACTGTGGAAAATTGGAGGAAGTAATTAACCTAGGAAAATAACAAGTAAACAGAAAACTCCCTTGCTGAGTAGTGACAAGCATGTTTTCAGATTATGCTGGATGACTTTGAAGGCCCAATGGGGGCTTGCACTGTACCATTCAGAACCCTTGAAATGATGGAGCAAGGCCTGCCTGAGAGAGACTGAGGGAGAGACATTTTCCCTGCTCATTAGGCAGCAGGTCCCTGCAAGCTTCTCATGAACTGCTCTGTGCCACGCTCAGATGTGACCAGCTTGGTCAGCACTTGTTCCAGGAATCAGGAACTGGGCAGGGCAGCCGGCCATGGACAAAGCAAGTAACCAACAGAAGAAAGGTTTAGGAGGGCCCAGATTTGGAGTATAGAACAAGAGGTGGAAAAACAGATTGCTTCTGGGAATAATGGGAATAATGTTTGGCTCCATCCAGAAAAACAGCACAGAATGCTGTGAAAGTTTCCAAACAGGAGAACGGCCAACGTGGTTGCACTGAGTTACCAGACTTTCCCTGGGAACACTTAAACATTAACAGCGAGGACTCAGTCACCACTCCCTGTGACATGTCTATAAACGTGGGCAAGAGGGCTGTGGGGTTGTGGAGTGTGGGGTGCGTGAGCCCTGGCCGTGGGCCACTGCTCGGCTGTGCCTTGGGAAGAGCCATGAAGAACTGCCAACTTATTCAGAGGTTTCAGGGTCTTGCTTTTTGGTGCCGGAGATCGAACTTGGGTCCTTGCACTTGCGAGGCAGGCACAGGAACCACTGAGCTAAATCCCAGGCCCTCAGGGTCTTATTTTTGAGACCCAACTATTTTAGATGATGTGACATACTGGAGGAGATTGTCTATTGCTAAATTTTACATTCTTCATGAAAAAAGAGATCGTTTTAGAAAATAATAATGATGGCACTTCCTACAGTCATATTAGCAACCTACTCCAGGAGAGTGGGCTGTTTTGGGCGGTTCCGAGACTCGAGTCTTCACAGGGCCACTCCCGATCCCTTCTGACCAAGGACCTGGGAAAATGTGCGGGTGGCCCTTCGGACGCAGGTACAGTGGCTGAGCACGATCCACGGCACACACGGCAGCAGGGCTTGGGCTGTCACTGGGTCTGGCACGTCGGATCATTTGGAAGCGTGTGAAGGTCTTGCCTGGATCCTCCTCAGCTTCCCTTCTCTTTCCCTTCGTTTTATAATTACGCTCATTATAATTACGATTGCTGAGAATTTCTGAGCACCTGTTACATACCTGGCCCTATCCTGTGGGCTGTGATACAGGCAGGTAAATAAGAGACAGTTTGGCCCCATAGGAGTTCACGTGCTAGGCCACGAGTTGAGTTCTCGTGAAATAGTCAAGGCCAAGAAATGTTTATGTTTTGCTTCGCAGTCTGTTTGGTGTCCTGTGTCAAGGATGGCCATAAGCATGGGCAGGTGTCAGGGGACAGTAGGGCAGAGAGGGTGCAACATGGCTAACCAGTGCCCCGGTTGTTCCTGCGAAGCAGTGTTTTCAGAAGAGACGCCAAGGGTAAGGGGTAGAGGATGTGGTAAAGAGAAAATGAAGCAAGTATTTCTTGTTTGAGGCAAATGATTTCTCTATAGTTAGGTAGACTTTCAAAAAGATAGGTCCGGAGGGGTCTAAGATGGGATCTCACCTGCCTCCCTACCAGTGGGCCTATCACGGCAGAGCAGGAATAGAGACACCTCCTCTTCCAGGAGTGTTCTAGGATCCAGCAATGCTAGTTCTTAGAAGTTCTTGCTTGTCACACATTCTTGTGCTTGTTGCAGTTTGTGTCTTATTCCATCTAACCTTCCCAAAGATGCCGAGCAGCTGCTTCCTAACCTCCTTGTGTTAGTAAGTCACCACTCAGGCTTTTCTCAGAGCGAGAAATCAGATCTACAACTTCTTCATGAACTCCCACTCCCAGCGTATTAATCATCCCCCCCACCCTTGGTCTGCCCTGGATCTCCTCCAAGGCTTCCATATTCTTCTGAAAACGTGAAGCCCAAAGCAAACATGTGTGTGAAATGACCCAGGGCCCAGGAAACACGGGAGCCATGAATTATCTGAACACAGCTGTCAGGAAAAACGAAAGGGAAGATTAATCAGATTGACAAATCCGCCCTTGCACACTGGAGACAGACGTGGTTGTTGAATAAAAAGACAAATCTTCATATCAAAGCTCTGTCTTCTTAGTTTATATCTTTTATCCTTAGCCTTTTCCCCCTAAAGATACAGATCTTGAGCAGGATATTTAGTTTTCTTTTTTCCCTCCCTCCAGAAAATTGCTTCAGAACATGTGCTCTCTGTGAACTCCGCTCAGTATGCCGAGTTGTGGATGTGTCACTAGAGGAGTGTCTGCACGCTCTTAGGAGCTCTGGTACAATTCTCAGAAGGTCGCGTCTGAAACTCGGCACTACTCCTGAAGCCTTCTTCACTTCCCCCTCAACTGAACCAGTTTTGCATTTTGTCTGCAAACAAAACTCCATGGGAATCAAGTGAATAAAACTAAGTTGAATCCCACAAAGAAGAACAGTGCTGATCCTACATGATGCCCAGAATCAAGTTTTACCGAGTATTTCACTCACTGGGTTTTTCTCCAGTAGGATTGCTTTGGACCGTCTACCTCTCTACAGCCCCACCTCAGAGCATGAGACCTGCAGAAATTCTATGCCCACTACTCCTGGTTGTCTCTTCGGGCACATTCAGTGGAAACTATAAAATCAATCTGATTGACCCAAGGAGAGACAAGGCCTGAGGTGGAATGAAGTCAGCGTTCTAACAGGAACTGGGTAGGAGAGGGCACCTATTTCCTGTTCATAATGTCACTGAGATATTGCGGGACACTGTGATCAAAGTGGATTACTAAGAGGGTTTGCCACAAGTTGGCAACCTTAGTTGGCCAGTGAAGGATGCCAAGAAGTGGTAAGTCTTGTTCCATTCCGTCTAAGGAAGTAATACAAGATAAATGCATAAGGCAAATAAATGTTTCCTTAAAGTTGAGGACCAAGGGAAAGGAGAATGGATGGGGGCAACGGAACCCTACATTTAAATTCCAAGACCCTAACTGATTTCTTTGTAATTATTTCGAGAATTCTTTTCTGCCACATGGACAGTAGTCATGACCCGAAAGAGGAGGCAGTGTGTGTGTGTGTGTGTGTGTGTGTGTGT